TAGAACAATGGGGCCATGGTATGCTTTGTCTTAGTACACATATATACCACATGCAATCCACCCGTACCCTCAGTCACGTTTACACATCTCTGAGGGTACGTCACACACCACATACACAAAACTATTTATACTCACACAACGTACCTAGATTATTGTACTTACTACGTGTTTATCTAGGTACATACAATATAGTCGCGTTTACACGTCTCTGAGGATTATCGTACTTACTACGTGTTTATCTAGGTGTTGGTCGCACCTTCACTTGCACATCTGCTGCTGTCCAGTTGGGATTCCAACAGGGTTTACCATTGTCACTCTAGCCCAGTGACTGGGTTTGGGAGCACTAGTAACACAATAGTCACAGTTAGTCACTAATGCATCAATCTTATCTCTACTCCTGTCTTTCAACTAAGTACAATTGTTTGGACTACCATGGCCTCTCTAGACCAAAGCCACACTTCAGGCTTGCTGGAGTCAATATTTTCCTTGTCTGGAGCATCCTTTCTTTTTGGCAGAGTGAGCCATAATGAGCCGAGAATGTCCAGCATTGACAAAGGTGAGATAAGAAATGTTAGATTAGATCATATTTACGGTCGGTGTTACATGACCGTGACAACAAAGTTCAACCCAATGCTTGCCTACCCACAACCCGAACACTTTGTTTGTGTCGGGTTTTCACTAACCCGCCTTAAACCCGGGTTAGCCATAAGCCCAACTCCAATCCGAAAAGGCCCTAAATAAAAAGCCGAAAAGAATAAAACAAAACAAAGCCAAACAGTCTCACTTTATTAGTTGATACACGAACAACATCTTTATTATAGGCAGGGGAAGTACGGGCCCTCCTTGCCCCTGCCTTTTAGCCTACCCCTGGCTCTACTATGAAAAATCAAGAAGTCAGGCCTCGACCTATAAATAGATACTTCGAGGAGCACAAGCATCCACAAACAAAATATGATTCAGGTCTTTTTTTGCGTCACCACCTTGATCAAGATGCAATACCCAGGTAAACAAGTGTTTTTGTCACTATTGTAAAGCAGGTCTAAATTTGAATCGAAACCCCAAGCGCTGAAATTTGCACTGGCTCGCATGCAAAGACCTAGTTCGTATCATCACGATGACTCCATTATTCACACACACCTGTATAAAAGACTAGCAAGGGCACGACCGATGCCAGTATCCTTTCTTTCTCTTCGCTACAGTGTTCGAACGATCTTCGGTGACAATGTCATCCACTTTTCATACCAAAATTCCCCTCGATAGCACGCTCGGAGCCCTTTTTCTAGGCGGAAGTGTCACTGGAATGTACTTTTCGCATCTGGCAGCCTTGAGGCACTCGATCTTCTGATTATCCTTGTCCTTTAGTCTCTACGGGATAGCATGTGTACAATCTTACACATATTTTATGAACGATCAAAAAGCCACAAAGTTGCTGAAGACAGTCGTAAGTTTAGCTCCTCTGCAACCTTGTGTTCCTTATATTCGTCATGATTTTGTAGATATCCCTCCTTTGGTATGAAAACTGCTGTTGTATACTTTTCTCAGCTTCTGACTAATATATTAGGATACTGGACACCCTCCATTTGGCTCTTATAATACATTGCCTGTACTTCTACATGATCGAAAACTTTGGGAATTACCCTGCTGTGGAAGTAGCAGTTTGGTAAGCCGCCGGTTTCGGTCTTTATTAACCTCATCGTTTGAAACAACCCCGATGCCTCAGGAGTATCCTTGTGCGTACCATTTGCATATTTCTATGGAGCTGCCATAACCATTCAACTTTGCAGGCACAAACTTATGTCGCGGTGAACTTTGTACACATATCGAAATAGGAATGCTGAAACTGAATCGATGCTTCCATAGATCATTGTCGATGCAATAGTCAGATGGTACGTCGGGCCCACAAAACCACGAGGGAAAAATGAATATGATGTATCCACAGTATCTTCGCGCGTCGTGTCTGGCTCCGTAAGTAAACGTACCTTCATCGTCCACCTTTTCCTTAATGTGTCTATCAAAATAGTGTCTCGAAAGAGTAAGGTACTCATCACTTGTATTGTGAGTCCCAAGGTTTCACGCCTTTGACGATGAACTGATTACGAGAAGGCTTTCTGCTCTTTTCTTGCCTTTGGTATGGATGGTCACTTGACTACAAAACCTGTGCTACAACCAATAACTTTACTTCCAGCGCTTGGTTTTGGTGAGCTATGCAAGTGTTTTGCTCCGTGGTACTAGACCAAACAAGTTACTCACTATTAAGCATTCGCTACATATGCGTATGTGTCACCAGTGGCTAGTGATTTAATACTCATATGTTTTGTTCAATATAGGTTCGTGAGGGAGCTCGCAATGCCAGATTTATCAAAAGTATCAGTGGGTCGACAAATTTAAATTCTGGAACTCCTTTCCTATAATTCAACAGTACTTGGTCTATTCAGCGATCGGGTTTGGTGTAGCAGCTGATATACTCGTTGCAACTTTCCTGTGCATCAATCTATGGCAACGCCGTACTGGGTTCAAAAGGTAGATTTCCATAGACTTCCATTCATGATCAATTGATCGTGACTCATTCTAAGAAGCAACTCAATTATAAAGGTACTCATGATGTACACCATAAACACTGGTGTGTTATGTCCGACCTTGAAGTTGCTATTCAACATTAATAATGAATTTAAACAGCTCTCCTTACAAGGTATTTCATTACTGGGACCTTTGAAAACACGAACTCTACTTATGGTAGATGATTGGACAGTCTCTGTTGTCTGGCCTGCCTCATTTTCTTTGCCATCTGGCCCAAAAATTTTGCCTTTGTAGCAGTATTCTTCCCACTAAGCAACTGTAAGTATCAGTCCTACAATCTGCAGTGACGGCTTGATTGCTGTTATGGACTAGTGTTCATTAACAGTCTTCTCGCGTCGCTCAATAATAGGGAAGCACTTTCGGAGAAACTCAGCGTTCCACCTTCCATCCGTAGTCGGATCCTGTTTGCAGGCCTATCCCACGACAAAACGGAATCTAACCTGCCCGACATAATCATAGAACTGGAAGAAAGTCGGAGTAGTCTCGAAGATGGCATTACGCCTGGGGACGGAGATAAAGCATGTCCGACCACTTCTTTCTGTAACACAAATAGCGGTGACCGCTGTAAGCGTGGTATCATTACTGTTCACAGATTGTTGACCACCACCTATTGATAGATGTGCAGTAAGACGCAAACCATTGGCTGAATATGTCGATATCACTCCAGTTGCTTCTTTCCAGTTACACGCCTTGTTCCGGAATTCCTCATCACTTGTTTCCACTTTCCCTTTTTTGTTTATTTCAGATTAATACTGTTCCCAATTGTTGAACCCATGCGACAAGTGAAAATATTGTCAAGAGATTGAGTAAAATTGAAGCCAGAAAAAACCTTGCTTGCATCTATTACGTCGCCATATAAAAAGCTTCTCATCATTCCACACACCGCGGAGCATCAAAATTTTGATATGTGCAGAGTGCTCGTAAGTTTTGTCCAGCTGGAATTCCTGCAGGATTCGGAGGTTCCTTGGTGATTCGCGATATATATATATGCATCGTACATCATCTTCTCCTTCCAAGATGCGGATCAATTCCGCCAGCCGAAGAACGAATACGTTAGATTACTCGGTCTGTGATGCAGCTCAAGGTCGATACAAGACACAGAAAACTCAATGTGTCAAAAAACGTATGTAGACTCTGTGACGCCAGCGTTGCGTTGCGCTCATCGAGGTGGCTACCCTGAAACTGTAGATGACCGGGAGGACATCAGTGACAGTTATGCGCGAATTTCAAACTCCGTAGCATTCTTCTTAACTACGTACACGCGGACTTCTTTTTGGCTCTTGTCTGACACTCCCACATTCCTTTACCGATTCAACATGAAGTTCACTCGTCTTGCAACCGTCGCTGCCCTTGCCGCCTCTGCCGCAGCTGACTGGGAGATTTTTTCGCCAAGTTCTGATGTCTGGTGGGGTACGGATTCCCATGTTTGGAAAATTGGTAGACGCTCACTCGCTCATCAACCAGTCGCAAAATCCATAAATACACTCTCATGGTCCTGCAAAGACCCTGCTGCTCTCGCACACCCCACCTTCACCGTTCTCGTGGCCAACAGCGTGAGACCCCCCCCTAGTTTTCCGCCTCATCCCCTTTCCTATTGCCGTGTCCCGCTGTCTCGTGTCTTGTTTCTCTTGCTAACAACTCCGAACAGGATCCGAAAGTCCTCACATCACCCCTGGCAATTCTCAGCATCGAAAATAACTTTGATTGTTCGAAGACCATCACTGCTGATCAGCTGAACGCGGCTCCAGGACAAGGCTACACCATCCAGCTCGCCAACCCGTTGAACTCGACCGATGTGCGTCCTCCCTTCCCCCTCCTTTGCCCTGTTCCCTCCCTTCCCTCTTGAAATCCTATATTTTTCCTTCCACTGTCCATCCTAACCCCTCTCTTCGCAGGTATTCGTATCCTCGAAGCCTTTCGAAATCAAACCCCTTGGTTCAACTTACCCCACCACAACACCCGGCACCGCGTCTAGCTCCCCATCCGCCACCAGCTCCGGCGCTAATTCCGCTGCCACCTCCGGTTCGACTGACTCCAACAATGCTAAGGGTAATGGCGCTATTGGCATGAGCATGAAGGCCGGGAGTGTCGTCGGTATGATTGCGGGCGTGTTGGGGTTGGTGATGTAAGTACGTCCTCAGAGGGATAGTGAAGGGATGGATGGTTAAGTCGTTCATGAGGGACGCTGAGTCGAACGGACTTCATTTTTTCTCAATGACTCACTTTTGACTTTTGACATTGACACTGGAATCCTCATCACTTAGATGCACTATACGTTTAACGTGCATTCTGCGATTGGTAGTAAACTCGTACATTGATTACAGTTGGAACAGCATACCTATTGGATACACGTTGATTCAAAAACCTAGTCATTCCAGGCTTTTATCGGATCATAGCGCATTGCAACGCGTCATGACCATACTGGCGCTATAGTGTAGTGGTTATCACTCGGGATTTTGATTTCATCAAAAGTTCCCGAAACCCAGGTTCGAACCCTGGTAGTGCCTTAGAACATGTATTTACCATTTACTCTTTTGTACGCCTGCATAATGGACCACCACCCTTACCTGTTAGTTACTACAACCAGCCTCATGGCCTTTCTACCTGAGCTCCATCTTTTCCCTTCAATAGGCCTTGTGCTCTTTTACAGTGATTTTTTCCTATCTTTTTATTGATCTCTTCAACACAACAACTTTAAGAAGAACTAGTAAATTGACATGCCCAAGACCTGGGTGCACCTTGCCTTAACAAATGTCATCTCCAAAACAAAACACCCTTAAAATATCTTGGCCCACCCTGATCATACTTTTGATTCACACTTGGAACACTCTTATATACTCTTGGCACAACAATTTTGACTTTGAGAAGTTGACACACCTAAGACCTGGCCACACCTTACTTTCATCTCACCTGTAATAACCTTTACAGCATTGGGCTATAGACAGGTTTGCTAACCACTACCAAGCCTGTGCATTTGGCATTTTGAGTGAGGATTGGGTACACCAGAATACTATTTGTCAGCCACATACATGAATCTTGGGACTGCAACAATATTGTATAGTTGTTGAACTGTAACCAGCGAGTTACCTAGACTGTATAGAGCGCGATATAGCGCGCTCACTTGCCTTATATAGATCCTAACGCGCGTCCGTGACGCGCGTCGGTAGATTATGTAAGGACAACATCTTGTATTCACAACGTATCTAGTCTAATCCGATAATTCGGTCTGATTCAGCTACTGCGTGAACCACGCAAGATTGTTCTATCTGTAGCCACGGCTACATTTTTTTGAATCTTCTGCTATCGGTTTTAGACTCTGGGCTATCGTTACCATACTAGGCAACACATCAAACTTCTGAGCTTCTTTTCTGCCACGTCGAAACCTAGTGCTCATGGCTGACTCATCGGAGCAACCACCTGGTTTCTTGGAGCCACCAAGTGGCTCCACCCCTCATGAGACGCTTTCAGCGTCGAAATACCAGCC